CGATCGTGTCTAGCGTGTCTGTGTGTGTGTGTGTGTGTGTGTGTGTGTGTGTGTGTATGTATGTGTGTGTGTGTGTGTATGTGTGTGCGCGCGCGTGTATAATATATAGTGTATAGTGTAATTGTGCGCGCGCGCGCGCGCGCGCGTGTGTGTGTGTGTGTGTGTGTGTTGAGGCCGATGATGGAACGAAAGAAACATCTATAATATAGACATCAGTTATTATATCAACGATTCTCTCATCTATACCCTGTGCATCATTTTAAATGTCTCGACACATCCTAGGTGATTTCACCCGAGATAAATGTTGCTCGCTTATCCTTACATATAGTCAATATATAATATTTATAGTTTATTACTTTATATAATATCTATATATATATATTTATATATTTATATATTTATATCTGTATATATATTTATAATCATGCCAGATGCGTCACTTTACAGCGTCGGTCTGCGACAAAGGAGGATGCCGATTAATGCCAGTTATAATATCTATTACGACTGCGTGTAAGTGTGCGTACTATGTATAGTGTGCATGGATATATGTATGTATGTATGTATATATGTATGTATGTATGTATGTTTATATGTATGTATGTATGTACGTGTGCCTGTATGTATACATGTGTATGTGTATGCGTATGATTATGTGTGTCCATTTTCATAATTCGTGTATTAACATATAGTGACTTTCTCGGCAAAATGCGAAACGCATAACAGAATATAATTAACGAGACAACGTAACGCGATTATGTTAATAACGACAGTAACGTATGTAACTCCACAGCGATATCGAGTTGTAACGATAAATAATAGTCAGAGTTGCAACGAGAAAACGGCGATGACTGTTGCGGGCGCGAGGTACGAAAATGGATGGCGTGGTGTGATAAACAAAGTTACACACGAATAGTCCCTTTCTTCTTCTGTCTCTCTCTTCTCTCTCTCTCTCTCTCTCTCTCTCTCTCTCTCTCTCTCTCTCCCCCTCCCCCCTCCCCTCTCCCCTCTCGTTAGGACTTACATCTTTTTACGTTAAGTAAGCTCGGCATCCGGTTGCGCGGGCAATCTTTTTACCAAGTTATAATTCGATCGGCGAATTCCGTTTCGCGCGCGTTGCAAGGCCGGTTCTATTAACATCGATTAACATCAACCTTAGTTTAATCGATTTTCTGTCTCCTTCTAGTCCTAGTTCTGCAGGAGGAGATAAATAAATTAAATTTCCCCATTTCTAAGCGATACGAGTCAAATATCGCGCGAATAAATATACCTGAAATTTGAAATTTTTAATGCACGAAAGTCTCGAAATATTAATGAAAAATGACGAACGACACTTGAATTAGCATACCGACGTTTCATCTACAATTCAACAGTTTCTCTCATGCAAAATCGTCTCCATTTCATCCGATTTCAAGAAAAAACGAATGCGAAAAATTTTTATCGCGTGATATTACTTTTATATATTAAACATCGCACTTTTGAGAGAAATAATTTGTCTGAATATAAAGATTAAACTGTGATTAAATCTGACCAAATTTGACCATTGATGAAAATGGCCGTGCCATGATTGAAGACGCACCGGCACAATCGGACTTAATCTTTTCCTTACTATGTGTAGTAACTTTAACGATACAATGATCATAACGATTAATATTTACTCTATTAAAAAAAAAAAAGAAAAACCCACTAAACTCATAAGTGGCGAGCGTGAGGGCGATGCGCGCAGCTCACAATTCGGTGATATTTTCTACGTTCACATCTCTCGCTAGAGCGCGACGAGGAAATGCAATTTCCCGCTGGAATAACGGATGAAAGTGAACATTGGAAAATTGCTTAATCTGGAGCACTTTGGTGTCCAGCAAAAAAGAGAAATGAATCAAATAAACAGTAGCGTATCTTTTATTCGAACGAAAAAAACATCCGGTCATGCGAGTTGATGCAAATTGCAGATTCGCGTCTTCAAAACCGATGATGCTCCGACCGCAAAGGTACTTTAGTCGATTAATCGATGATCGTGTTCTTGATCTATGTCACCGATATAATGACAAACACGGACTTATAAACGTCAGAAGATATGTAAAAACGTAATGTTATAATCTGGTTTTCGTCATTCCGATGGGTTCACAATTTGTCGTGTACTTTCTATTATTTTTACGCTTATTATACTAATAATAAGTAACTAATTCGCAATGAGTAATATCTCATTATGAAACAACCGAGCGAAAGTTATAAAATTCTTGGCGTACGTGAAACTTTCAAATTCCGCTAATAAGCTCAGCTCGGTCGAAATGAGAATGATTGCTCAACGTTGATGCTGTACCATCATGCCGGTAATGATCTAATTCAATTATTGCATAATGTATTCAGTCATATATTATAGTATCCGTGAATATTTTCTTTTGACATCATTAAATTTAAGTTTGCTTTAATTCTTAATAAGAGTAGACATCCTTAATAATGTGAACAAAGAAACATAGACATTTACTAAATGGAATTTCTGAAAGATAAAGTTAACGCTAGAAATCATAGTCAACGTTACAAGATCCGCGACTTTAAATAATTAGGTTAAAAAAATTGAATTTTTTTTTTGCTTTTTCTTATGTGATTTTTTTTTAAATTAAATTTATAAAAGATAAATCCCTTAACCTTTGTTTTGAGGAAATGCATAATGAATTCTTCGGTAATTCCTGCGTCAAAATTTGAATAATTAAAAAAAAGATATATAAATCATTGTTCTAAGAAATAATATTACGTGCATCATCACATAAAGAAAAGCGAATCGGTTTCTTAGACGATATTAAGATTATTCCGATGACATGAATACATGTCGTTATTTCAAGCGTTCAATAAGAATTAATTAATTAAATACAATAATAACAACAATACAACAGCCTAACAATAGTATAAGTCGCAATGCAATACACAAACACGATGAGTAAAAAAATGTCAATATTTCAATTATAGCTTATTTTCTATCGAGACGAAACCAATGTACATCTCGATCAATTCAATTTCCGATTGAAAATATACTTTATATAATTCATTGCACTCTCATTATCAATAAATAATAGTATTAATATATCTTTTATAAATTATTGTTTCATAAAATAATAATACTCTAATAATTTCAGCAACTTATAACATCAACAATTAATCAACAATAAAAAAGTTATAGAGACTTAATTTATATTGCATTATGATATTGCATATACTAATGCTCATCAATCAATGATATATAGATAAATTTAATAAAATAATGAAATACAGCCATTAATTTCTCCAACTGGAACTTGAACTCATCGAAATTACACTGGTTTCAATACCCGATTTAATTTTCCGGACTTCGTGTTTTACTCCATGAATGCATCGCGACGTAAGGCGATGTCGACGCGTTGCTTTTTTATTGACTTTCGAAGATAACAATTTATAATTGCAAATTAGTACAGGATACATGTACGCTCCCTATACCATTTGCAATCTTGAATGCCCTTCGAGACGCGAAAATGTGGAAATTCGCTTTTGATAGGCGTAAGTAAGTAAAGCTAGATGTGCTTGCAGCAATCGGTGTGGTGATCAATATCTGTTGATCGATATAGGAAAAAAAGGACAACACAATTACATGCTTACATGCCAATCTCAGCTACGTCGGCCGAATTCATAATCGCGATCTATTTGACATTAAGGTCGTCATTTATCTGCATCGGTTATCGGCATGCATGTCCGTGTAAGTGTATTTTAGCGATCGGATCGGTACAGAACGCGATCGGCGAACCTGATCTACCCGAGGCTTACGTTTCTCATTCGTTGCGTGTGCTGTAGTTGCATTTCACGAGCGGCTTTCCCATTCCCGAGCCGCGCACCCGTAATTATTCACGGCGTAATCACGTATCGAGAGCGTGATAAGAAAAAAAAGAAAAAAAATAGTGAGAGAAGCGTAGCGACGAAGTAGAAGCAGGATGCAGAAAGAGCGCATTACAAACGGGTAAAAACTGACAGCTGCGTACAGTGCCCCAAAATTGACGCCATATAGATACAATGTGGCGTATATGTGGCCTCGGAGGCATTTTTGTCCCACATAATTTTTTCAAATCTTAATTTCAATTAATCGGGCTTCAGATTCTTAAAGTAATGTCAATCTTAAATAAAATACGTACTAATTTACTTGATAATAATTCGGATAAGAGTTCATTATTGCTATCAAAGTCTCGATGTCTTCGATGAGAGCATAATTGTACGTGTTCGTTTTCTGCCAATTCTGGGGTGTTTAGTACGTAGAGTCGGAAAGAGCAAAAGAGAGAGGGAGGAAAGAGAAAACTGCGCGACAGATAGATCGGCGAAAGATCGCGCGCGGATTGCAAGTAGCGACTCGTGGGATGATTCGCGAAGAAGTAGAACCTTAAAAAGGAAAACTGACGAGGGCGATGGAACGAGGATGATGCAGGGGGACGACGCGCGACCCCGACACGTTGAGAGCCGTGTCTTAAAGACGTGTGTGTAAAAATACGTAGAAAAGATAAACGTGGCGGATACGTGCGTCGCTCGCGTACGCGCACAGGAGGCGATCGGCAGGCGGAGGAGAGGAGGAGACGGGATGGGAGACAGAAAGAGAGAGGATTATTGGGGCCTGGTGGTGGGTTGACGGTGATGAACAACGGCGTCTCACATCGATTATCATACACCGTCGTAAGAGAGGTCGACCGGCGGTCTGTGGTGCGACGGTGCGAGGTAGGACGGCGGCGTGGTGGTGGTGCTGGGCGCCGCGCCAGCCGTGCCGACGTAGCCGGGATAATTGGCGCTGGGCGCGTGTATGCCCGTCGGTGGCGCCGGGTAAGCATCGAACGAGCTCGAGTAAGAGCCATTGTACGGATATGGGTTGGCTGTTATCGGGTGACCAAGAGCAGCGGATGGGTGCATGCCGCCCATACTGCTCATCCCACCGATTCCGTAGGTACGCTGCATCAGACTGGACGCGGCATCGATGCCGCCGAACAGATAGCCATTGGTCGAGCCCATCGGTACAGGGTAGTGTCCGGGGATGATGTTAGGATACGAATTACCAGGATGACTATGATTCATGCTAGGTGTGTAGTTGCTAGAGGCGAGATTCTCTACTGTATAAGATTTGCTATGTTGTTGCTGCTGTTGCTGTTGCTGCTGCTGTTGATGTTGTTGTTGTTGCTGCTGTTGCTGTTGAGAGTCCTGATGATGACGGCCGTTCATGCCATATATACCTCCGTAACCCGCATCAGTAGGAGAATGATGCAGCGAGGAGGGATAGATTCCGCCACCCGGTGGCAAGGGTGGACTGTAATTGGTCATCCCGGTTGGTCCTGCCGGCATGCCACCAAAACCCGACATATAGGATTGATGATGAGCGTCCATTTTCTCCGCTAGACTATCATCGCCCGGCATACCCGGATGCGAATGCTGCAAACGTTGACTGCCGCCATCAGCTATGCTCGGGATCTGGTCTACGAGGGATTCTAAGTCGCTCAGGCTCTTAGACGCCACGTCCTGGCCGGAATTCCTCTTGATGCCGTATTGCTCGTGCGGATGGTGCGGTGACATGGACGTGTGAGTGGGCGTATGCGGATGATGCGGCGGCGTTGGATGCGAGTGATGGGAGTGCTCCTCAGCGGTCTGGCTAAGAGGTGTCGGCGTTGTCTGATGTGGATGCGGATTATGAGCGTCTGGCGTCTGTTCGTGATAACTCATGTAGTTAGCATAGCTGTTGTGGGACGGTGTGCCGGGACTGCCATGGTGACCCGTCGGATCGGGCCCTCCGGCCGGATTGTACTGACGGTGGTCGTTACCCATATTTTGTTGCGACATGCTGGTGGGTGGCTCAAAGTCCGGATGCTCGACGCTGGGCGACGTCAAGGGTGATGGCTCGAGATTGTTCTCCGATGAAATCGCGGTGTTAATCTCTGACGACAAGTCCGAATGCGTGAACGACAACGACATGGACTTGGGGCTCTGGCTATAGTGCTGCAAATGCACTGGACTTTGCTTCGCGCTCATATTGTATGGACTATTATCATTCATGCCTTGGCCAAAGAAGCCATCGTTCATCGGTGGCTGCGGATACGGCGCCATATGCGGAAACGCTTTCGGAGGTGACATTAGCGGTGGTGAAAAGCAATTCGACACGTTACCATAATCATTTAGATGGCCCATCGCTTGGTGCTGTTGTTGCTGCTGTTGTTGTTCTCTCTCGCGATTCTCCCGTTCCAACTGTTTTTGCTGTTGATGTATCTTCTTCGGGCGACCGCGTCGCTTTTTGATAACCTCGCCATTCGCATCCAATTTTTCAGGATCTGGTGGCGGTTGATCCTCTGGGTTCTTGATCTTTTTTGGTCTACCACGTTTCTTCTTGCCAGGTATCATGCCTGATTCCTGCTTTATTCCCATACCGTTGATCTCCGTGATTCGGCTCTCACCGTCGGGCAAATCGTCAGCAAAAATCGGCTTCTTGTCCTCGATTGCCTCCTGTTCTTTTTTCTTGAGCTTCGAATCAGCAAATACGATATCCGATTCGTCCAAATGCGAGATTGTACCGTTCAGGTAGTCGCGGAATTTCTTCAATGCGGCGTAATATGGCACCTTGTCAGCAGCACGCGGTAGTTGAGCACACCTCGCGCTGCTCGAGGGCATAACCCACATATACTGCAATGAAACAACGAGAAATAAGAAATTTGTTAATTATTATTAATGTAATTATTAATACATAATCTTAAATATGAAAATAACTTAATATTTAATACTCAGTTACGATGATATAGTCAAAATATCAAAAATTAATTATTAAGCTTAGGACTAAATTTATTAAAATTATATCGATTTTAATATTCGGAGTAACATATAAAAACATGTTTTAATCTTTCAGACTTTCTTTGAATATCTTTCTTTGTGTGATTCTTGAATTTTACATTAATTTTACTATATATAACTATAAGAATACAAAGAAACAATATGGCAGCTGACTTACCGTGTTGGTTCCGTCAACGAGGTTAGGCTGTCTTCCAAAGCCGAACTCCTTCTTTCCCGAAAACACTTCGTATATGAGTTTGCCGTTAAATACTGCAATTTTTGGCTTATACTTTCGTAACTTTTCGAGTAGAATGTGACTCCCTGTAAATACAAACAATTATTATTGCACAATGCTTTTATTTTTTATTAATATTATATATGTAATTGCACTATAATCTCTCTCGATAATATTAATAATTTATCTACATCACACGAAGCGCAATTAATAAAATATCTCAATTGAGAATCGATTACGTATCTAAATATTTATTCTCTCTCTCTCTCTC